GACCAGGGCTACCAGTTGTGTCAGGGTCTCCAAACCATCCATGTGATCGGAGATTTACTAGAAGGTCCCATGGGAGTCAGTATATAGCTGAAACCACCCAGGTGGTATAGACAGTGAAAGTGTGATGGGATCGTCTTGGTCACTTCTCCACCCGAGATTGGACATTGAGCCTAGGGCAGCATCTTCCCTGGGGCCAGGATGAGGCAGAGGCCAGACTTCCTGTCTTCTCAGACGTCCAGGCTTCTTTCACCCCCTTGGAGCTTTCAGGGTCCCTGACAACTCCCCTACCGCACCCTACGTGCTCCGACTTTTCTGCACCTTGCCCACTGGCAGGTGGTTCAGACTGCAGGCTCTGCAGCCAGACAGTGGGGTCAAATCCAACCTCTGTGCTTGGTGTGATCTCAGATGAGTGCCTCTGTAGAATGGGATAATCTCAGCTTCTAGGGCCTGAAGTAGGCTCTTCTTGCATCATTGTGTATTTAAGTGCCAGCTGCTCTTATTGTTAATAGAGCTGCCTTCCCAGATCTATTTACAAAACTCCCTGCCATCCTTCCTGGCTTTATTTTTCTTCCCAGCACTCACTGTGCCCTCGAGGAATCCCTGTTTATTTATGTTTTCCTGTGTGGTCTCCCCAACCATAACATGAGCCCCAGGAGGCGGGGACCATGTCTGTTTACTGCCTGTATGTGTTTCCGGCTGGGTGTGTCCCTGTGGTGGGTGTGTCTGTGCGGGTGCGGCTGTGCCCTGGTGTTCACCTCCAGGGTGTATCCAAGTGAGAGTCCATCGGGCAATGTGGCTGGGTTATTGTGTTAGTTAACATTGTGGCGTGTGTGTGTGTGTGTGTATATAGCTGGGCAGTTGTGTGCCAGAGTCTGCCTCCAAGTATAGCAATGCGGTTGTATAGTCTCATTGTGTGTCTTGTCCCCGGCATGACGGTGTGGGCTACTGCGTTACTGTATTGTTGTGTGGCTTTGTCTCTTGGGGGGCGGGTGGAGTTGTGTGTTGCTGTGTGTGTCAGTGGGCATTAATGATCAGGTCTTTGTGTGCAGCTGTGCTGTTGTGTATCACCATGTGTGACTGAGTTCAGCAGTGTGTGCTTTGTATGTAATTGTGGGACCCAGTGAGCAGGATCTTGGGGTGAGCTGCCATGTCTCTGGCCGGATACGTGTGCGTTGTGTTATTGTGTGTCTCGGGGGCAGTTGCATGTTCCACTGTGTGGCCAGGCAGAGGTGGCTGCCATTGTGCATTGCGAGGTTGGAGGTGTGTTGTGACCCTGGCTGGATGTGGGCAGGGCTGTTGTATATCAAGAGCCCAGTGTGCGTTGGTGTCATTGTGTGGCAGAACAGAGGTGTGTGCTGTTGCATTGTTGTGTCTCCGGCTGGGTTGTGGTTTGTCTGGATGTGCAGTAGTGTAGCCGGCTAAGGGTGAGTGCTGTGTGTTACCAACGGGGTGTGTGTGTGTGTGTTTGTGTGTGTGTGAGTGAGCAAGGGGTGAATTCCCAGCCCCAGAACCATCACTAATGTCTCCAGCCTCCCCCACCTCTGGGCAACAGAGACCTCTTTGTTCTCAGTGGCAGAAGCCAGTGTCTCTCCCTCCTGAAGCCCCCGGCAAATTCTCAGCCCTAAGCCTGGTCAACAAAACAGCCTCTGAGCATCTGCCCTGTGCCCGGTCACTTGCTGGGTGTACTGGGAACATCAGTAGGGGCACCAGACCTGGGGACAACAGAGTGGTTGGGGATGTGATGGGGGCGGCAAGGGGACCCTGACCATCTGGAGGGGCTTGGGTGGCCTTCCTTGAGGATAGAACGGTTAGAAGATAATTTTGGGGAAAAAAGGGGAAATCATGACTCATATAGACCTTAAAGTGATCATGTGTTAAAGATTCAACTTAACACTGGGAGGTGTTACAACCAGTTCGAAGGAGAATCAAAGAACAGACATTTATAGATCAGGAATATTGAAACAAAATTAAAAAAAAAAAGGCAAAACATGTGGGGAGTCTTATGGTCTGAAGTTTTGTGTTCCCTCCAAACTCATATGTTGAAATCCTGACCACCCCCCCCCCCCGCCCGCCAAAGACAATGGTATTAGGAGGTGGGGCCTTTGGGAGGTGCTCAGGTCATGAGGGTGGAGCCGCGGTGAATGGGATTAGTGGCCTTATAAAAGGGTCTCCAGAGACATCCCCAGCCCCTTCCACCAAGGCGAGGACGTAGCAAGAAGGTGCCAGCTATGAACCAGGAAGAGGACAGTCACCTGATCATGCTGGCACCTTGATCTTCCCAGCTGCCAATACATTTCTGTTGTTTATAAGCTGTGATGGGGGTATAGCTCAAGGGGTAGTGTGCATGCTTAGCATGCACAAGGTCCTGGGTTCGATGCGCAGTACCTCCCCTAAAAAAATAATGAAGAAATAAATAAACCTAATTACCACTCCCCCCCTCCAGCTACTCAGTCTGTGGTATTTTGTTATAGGAACCCAAAGGTCAGGGTCGCAGCAGATGAGAACCATGGAGGCAAAGACAGAAGCTGAGGTATGAGGACTTCGGCAGAGCTAATCTCTATCGACCTGTCCCCTTGTACCAGACGCTGTTCTAGTTCTTTCCATATATATGAATTCATTGAACGCTCCCATCAACCCCTGGAGAGAAGTTCTTCATCTTGTTTCACATCTCTTATCTCCACATCTCATCACTCCCATGAGGGCAGGGGCTTTATTTTTTCACTGCTGTATCTTCGGAATCCATGACTGCAGGTTAGGTACCCAGTATGGATTTGTTAATGGGTAAGCATGCCTTGAAGGCGATTATGCTCATCTTCCAGAAGAGAAAACTGAGGCTCTCAGATAGCCATCCACGCCATAAGCCCGTAATTCAGCTGCCAGCTTCCCTTCCGGCACTTTTCATGAACCCCTCGCTTGGAAGGGCTGTAAGGCCCAAAAGAGCGGGCTGCAATACTGATTAGGCGGCACCTGGTCCGGCTGCCGGGCCTTAATAAGACCGCGGGGACCCTGGAGGGCGCACTGGAAACCTCAGCTTCAAGGGGCCGCCCCTGCGAACCCTGAATCGTTTCGGACTCGGCCCCCTCGCCCTCTCCCGCCGCCGCCTGCACGCCCTGTAGGGAAACGACCACCGTCTCTTGCAATTCCCTCTCCAGCCAGTAGCGGTTGGCCCTGAAGCCCCGCCCCTCGGGGCCATACCATTCCGGCTCGGAGTGGGGGGAACCCGGGGCGCGGCGCTCAGAGGCTTCTCCCGGGAACTCCCTCTGTCGGGACGCTCCCCGGCCCCGCAGGAGGAGAGGAGGGAGACTTGTGTGTGGGGCTCAGGGAGGCAAGCCGCAGGGACCCCCGTGTCCTCCCTATGGGGCCTTTCTCCCCGTTCCCCCCTCGCCGGCGTTGGTCCGCGCCGTGGAACGCCGAGTGCCGGGCCGCAGTGCGCACGCTCGGGCCCGGGGCGCAGACCTCTCGTGGCCGCGCTGGGATCCGGTCCTGTGTCCGCGCTGTCGCGGATGCTACGGTCCGGAGTCATGGCTCTCTCCGTCCGAGTCGTTTACTGGTGAGCAGGAGGGCCAGAGATCCCCTCCCCGCCCCCTGCCGGGCTCCGTCCTCCGTCCCGGCGGAGTGAGGCGCTGGGGGGCCTCGGGGGGCAGGACCCACGGGGATCCTTCCACGAGAAAAGGGATTCCCGTGTGGGTGGGAAATAGAGGACGTTGGACCGCCTCGTCCCCAGTTGGTGACATTCTAGGCATCGCAGGTCGTAAAAGGTAGAACTAAGACACATGTGTGCCCGTGTTAGCCCCACTCCCCTCCGGGGCTCAGCCTGGGGAGCAGGTGGGTGTCAGTTTGTAAAGGGAGAGGAGCCTCCGTCAGCATCTAGGTTTCCCCTCCCCAGTACCAGGAACAATCATGGGGTGGGGCCGGCCAGAGTCCAGAAGGTTCGAGAATGTTCCGGCTTGTGTTTGGAAAGGACAACAGATGCCTTTGGCTACTAACCCTACTTGTTTTCTGCGCTCTGTTTCCCCATCTGGAGAGGGGGAGAGAGCGAGCGAGAGCTTAATAAAGTTACCGCAGAGGGAGTGCAGAGTGTTGGTGCTAAACACGTTTGATTTAATTCCTCCGTTAGAGTGAAAAGGCCCCGGGTTGGCAGGGAATGTTGTGTCCTGTAGACCAATTTATCGCCTTGGCACCGAGGGCTGTGCTGGCTTGCACAGGCATGCTGGCGTGTAGGCGCTTAATACATGCACCATCAGTGAATCTCCTCTCCCAGAAGCGCCGTGAGGGGGGAATTTTAGCTCCATTTTACAGGTGAGGAAACAGGCTGGGAGTCGGGCTGGGCCAGGTCGGGAGCTCGAGGTCCGGACTGCAGATCACAGGGATAACTCCAGTCTGAGTTGGCTGGGAGGCAGAGGGTGGTGTGAGATTTTGAGGCCCCCAGGAGGCCTGTGCACCAGACTCCTGTCCCGAAATAGCCGTAGGGGTTGGGCAGGCGTTTGGATTTCATCCTCAGGCCTGGAGGGGCCTTGGGACTCCAGGAAGAGCGTTTCCCTTAGACTGTTCCACGCGCTGCGGGTGGGGATGCGCTGCGGGTGGGGAGTGCTCTCTTAGCAGTTCTAACCCACGTCTCTCCATTGCTTCCCCTCTCCTCCTTCTCATGCTTGTGGTCTCTCCTTATCATCCGCTGCTCTATGCTTGTCTCCCTTGCTCTGTGTCCGGTTTCCTGGTCTGGGTGGCCCCTCCTTCCGGTGTCCCTGCCTCCCCATCTCGGTGTGGCTCCCCTTTGTGTCTTTCCTCTCCCTTGAGGCTGTCTGTCCCCTCCTTGGTCTTGTCATCTGTGTCCCTCTTGATCTCTTCCTGGTCCCCTCCTGTCTCCCTCCATCTCTGCTGCTGCTGCCTGCCTGCCTCTCCCGTCCTCTCCCTGGATCCCTGCTGTCTCCCTCTCTCTCCCACCAGTGGTGCTTGAGGCTACAAGTCCAAGGTAAGCAGAGTGGCCCCAAGGGGCACCCCTGGAAGATAGGGGAAGAGGGCTGGCTGGTGTGGCCCCTGTGGACCCCTGCTGTGACCTCCACCCTCTTTTCCAGTATCTTCAGCTGAAGAAGAAGTTAGAAGATGAGTTCCCTGGGCGCCTGGACATCGTGAGTCTCAGGGTTGGGGGAGGAGTCCCACGTGGGCCGTGTTTGTCCCTCAGCACTGGATGGCAGCCCCACCCTTCACCCCTGTTCTTCATTCCCTGGGAAGGGGTGGGTGTCCCCAAGGGGGCATCTCAGCCCCAACATCTCTCCCTCTCCCCAGTGCGGCGAGGGGACTCCCCAAGTCACCGGGTTCTTTGAAGTGTTGGTAGCAGGGAATTTGGTTCACTCCAAGAAGGTATGTCTGTCTGTCTGTCCCACCTCATTTTGGGGCTACTGAGGGGCTGGGATTGGGGTTGGTGTCTTCGTTCCGGCTCACCCCTTCCTTCCTCCTCCCTTCCCCAGGGAGGTGATGGCTATGTGGACACGGAGAGCAAGTTTCTGAAGCTGGTGGCCGCCATCAAAGCCGCTTTGGCTCAGGGCTGATGTGTCCTGAAGGCAGAGGTGAGGGGGCCCAGCTCCTAGACAGCAGAATTGACTCCTGGCTCCTAGTGCGCTCTGAGCCTCAGTGCTAGCTTCCAGCCCAGGGCGTTCCAGAACGAGTAGTGATTTCTGTACTATTCTCTGGATTACAGGACTGTTTTTCAGTACTTTCTGAGTCTGATTTTCATTTTTCAAGCCAGTGTGTCATAAATGAGCCCCAAACCCACCCTGTTCTAGAACTGGACCCTGTTTGCTTGCCTAGTCCATGACCGAGCTCCCGCTCCTGGCGTTCCAGAGCCTGCAGGCACTTTCCCTCCCCTCTCAGCTTGAATGTCGGTGCCCACCACACAGCGCGCTGGAACTCAGCGTCCTGTCCCAGTGTACCGTGGACCCCCAAGTACCTGCTGCCAGCTGGCTTTGCACTAGAACCTGGTTCTCAGGTGGTGTAAACTCAAGTTCCATCTCTTATACCATTCTTGCTAGAGCAGAGTGAGGTTGCTTTCCATGTGAATTTGGACCTGCAAATTTGAATTAATGCAGTTCAGAAATGCAAATGTCTTGCCTCACGTGCAGGTCTGAGCTGACGTGAGTTTCCCCAAATCAAAAAAAGAAAATTAAGAATTGTGTAATTCCAAAGCTGCATGAGCTGGCTTCTTGGGGATTGTTGCTGTAAGGATTTGGAATCTTCCAGACTAAAGTGGAGCACGTCCCTTGCGTAAACCCACCATTTGCCACTTGCAGACTGTCGGCAACTCACAGGCTTTTACTTAAAACAGCACGAGGTTTGCTTGGATTACAGAGAGGTCCATCAGTGGATAATCTCACCCAAAATAATCAAAACTGGGATTTGTATAAGAGGAAAGAGAGGGGAAGAGTGATTCTTTGCATGTTTTTTGAGTGCGATTTCTGGAGTCCCGAGACCACCCCTAGGCTTAGCGATTTGCTTGAAGGACTCACCCAACTCAGCAAAGCTTTTATACTCACAGTTTATTACAGCAAAGGCTTAGAGATGAAAGTCAGTGAAGGGACAGACTTTAATCTGGCCTCTTTCCCTGCAATCTGACCCCTGCTTCTCTCTGCACAGTCCAGCGACTTTGGCCCAGCCCCTCTCGGCAGACGCTTCATGACAGGAAGGACTGAAATGTCTCATGGACGCCTGGTCCTTCCCTGATGTTCCCACGGCTGCCGGGTGGGGCATGTGGACACCCCTGGTCTTTGCCTGTGTGTGTGTGTGTGTCTGTGTCCCAGGAGTCTGACTTTGCACACTGGCCCTACTCCTTCCTTCCTCCCTCTTCCTCCCCCCGCCCCCCATTTCCCCTCATTCCCCATGTCTCCCTTCTACCCTCTGGTGTTTGGGCTGGTCCTGCCCCAGGCTTCCTTCTTCCAGGAGCCAGGTGGGGATCAGGGTGAATGAGTGTCAGATTTTGGCAGTGTTTGCAACGGTTCACAGTTCTCTCAATAAACGCTGATGAGGAGAACAAAATGTGCCTGTGTCTCCGTGTGTCCGTTTTACCTCGGGACCCTCCTCCCCCTGCTCTGCAATCCAGGAAATGAGTGACTCGGTGTGGAGTCTCTGGAGCCAGGCTCCTGGCTAATAAAGAAGCACTTTCTAGAAGCAGTGCTGAGTTTATGCAGATGAGGAAACTGGCTGCCACCGGCGGTGTTAATTGCAGCAAAACCCAGACTCCCAGATCTTTTGTTGAAAGAAATCTTTCCATGGCCCCAGTTCACTGGCCCTTGTGTCAGTCGTCTGCGAGGGCTGCCGGGACGCCAGGCTGGGTGCCTCAGACAACAGTAAGTGTTTTCCCTGGAGGCTGGGCGTCTGGGATCCAGGATCTCAGCAGGTTTGGTTTCTCTTGAGGCCTCTGCTTGGCTGGCAGACGGCCGCCTCCTCGCCGGGTCGCCTCCTGGTCTGCATGTGCACCCCTGGTGACCTATGTGAGTCCCAGTTTTATAAGACGCCAGTCAGACTGGACTAGGGCCCCCTTTAAAGGCCTCGTTTTAACTTAATATCCTCTTTGAAGGCCCAGTCTCCAAATCCAGTTACATTCTGAGTTCCTGGCAGTGAGGGCTTTGATGTGAACTTGAGGGGGGCACTTAACTTGGTGTGTAATGACGCTTTTTCCCTGGAGAGCTGGGTCTTAGGCCCTTTCCTGTGCATCCAGGTGGGCCAGGGCTTCCACCAGCAATGCGGCAGACTGGCGCCCTGAGGCGCGCAAGGCTGGAGGCAGGACAGGCCCGCGGCACCTGTTCCCGGGACCACCGGGCCCGGCGGAGACCCACGCAGTTACGGTGACGAAAGCACAATAGGGCGCCTCTCAGGCCTTTCTGCGCATCACCCTTAATATCCCATCAGTTTTAAAGCTGGTCTCTGGCTGAACCCAAAACCAAGGGGTGGTGAGATGGATCGACGTGCCCCCCATCATGGGTGGGAGGTATCGCAAACCCATGGCGAAGGGTGTGGCGACAGGGAGGGGTGCCAATCAGCTCTTGGCAGTCTTCCCCAGTTTAGAGGGGTCCTGGCCAGATCTCCGTGTTGGGGGCAAATCGTGACCCCATTGGGGGCAAACAGGTGACATCAGAGGAGGAACTTCTCATGGATAAACAGGCAGATCAAGTCCAGCCCTGGTGAAGATCTTCTTGAATTTCTCTGGTTACTTCATTTGTAAGAGGTCTGGAAGGTTATTTTGGAAGGTCATTCCGCTGGCTCTATGGTATATTGTTAACAATATTGACATCTAGTGGTCAGCCAAGCCGAGGTCAAGGGGGGCCCTGGACAGCACCTGGAGTTTCCTGTAGCCAACACTGGCCTGGTCCTCCCGTGTGAAATGGGTCCCTGGTTCCTGCGTTTAGGAGAAAAACAAGCTAATTGCAAAAAGGTGCTTGGTGGGTGTGTGTAGATTGCATTTTTAGCCCCCATGTATGTATCACAGCCCTCCTTTCTATGCCTCCTCGTGATGCTGGGTTTGATCACGTGACCTGTTTTGGCCAACAGAATGAGACAGAAAGTGGCTGTGTCAGGGCTGAGCTCAGCCCTCCAGAAGCCTTGTGTTCCTGCCAGCGTGAGGTTCCTGGGGTGTGATTAGAAGCCTCACTGGCCCACTTCTTAATATTTCATGTGGCTAGACTGGAAACACTATGGGAGTCTGGCCCCTTTGGTCCTTCTCTACAAACCTCAGTCAATTTATTTTTTAAGACCTTCATTTTAACACAGACCCCCAGCTGATTCCGAATGCTGTAGGCCAGGAAGATGTGGGTGCAGCACTGAGGTTTTAGAAACTACATTTATGATCCATTTTGTAAAGGGTAAGTCCTGATGGGTATTAGTAAATAAAGGTATTTTGAAATTTCAAAATTTGGAATAATTTCTTTCAGAAGTTCTTTCACTAAGGGTCATTATATCTTATATTCATCTACCTGTCCTGAAAAAGTTGATTCCAATCACTAAGGCGTATGAACAAAATTTCATCCATATAAAACCTACTAGAATATTCCTAAAAGCCCCCTGGCCCGCAACAGGAAAATGTTACTGTTTTTGTCTTGACAGCTCTCACCTTCATCGTGGGCTGATGCCTCGGGGGCCCTAAGAATCCTACCAGAAGGACTCTGGAAAAAGTTGTAGCAAATGAATCATGCCTAATTGGGCCTCAATTTACTGTCTGTTTGTTTGAGCCAGGCCATTGGGTGACCTGGGTGAGGTGAGGAAATACACTAGATGTCATCAAGAAGCAAAAGTCTCAGTCCTGTGGGCTTCTAAGTGGGAGACAGCTAAGAAACAGCTGGAAGAGACCCGTCAGGAGGCAGAGATAAGAGGATTAAGTGCCTGAGAACTTGAAAAAGTCACAGCCTCAGAAATGATACTTTTTTTTCTTTTCAAAATAGCTTTATTGAGATATTACATTCCATACAATTCACCCACTTAAAGTGTACAATTCAATTTTTTTTACTATATTCACAAATATATGTAACCATCACTACTGTCAATTTTAGAACATTTTTGAGGGGAGGTGGTAATTAGATTTATTTATTCTTTGATGGAGCTACTGGGGATTGAGCGCGGGACCTCGTGCCTGTAGACATGTACTCTACCACTGAGCTACCCCCTCCCCCTCCGTGGCTCAGCTCTAAATCAGGTAGATGGAGACGGATCCCAGAGAGAGGCCAGCAGGCAACTAAGACTCGAGGAACTTGATCTTAACCCCGTTTGCCAGCTCAGCTCATACTGGGGTCTGCAGGCTGTTATCTTCAGCTCCCCATTTGGTTTGGCCAAGCCACCTTGTGCCAACAGCCGATAATTCAAATGCCATAGGACTCTCAAGTCCTTTGTTTAGGCAAGAAATCGGGTGGGTCAGTCTAGGTTGCGTTATGCTTTAGTGGAAACGAAGAAAACCAAGCGCAGCCTCAGTGGGTTAGCACAACACATGCAAAGCTCTCTCCAGGGCCACTGTCCTCTCTGCATCCATTCAGTGATCTGCAGCAGCATGGTCCAACAGAACTTTCTGTGTTGATGGACTTTCTTTCTTTTTAAGTTATTTGTAGTAGTATAGCCAGCTTACAGTGTGTCAATTTCTGGTGTACAGCATAATGTTTCAGTCATACACATATCATATACATACATATATTCCTTTTCATATTCTTTTTCTTTCTAGGTTACTACAGGGTATTGAATCTAGTTCTCTCTGCTGTACAGTAAGACCTTGTTGTTTATCTATTCTGTACATAATAGTTGGTATCAGCCAATCCCAGACTTCCAATTTATCCCTCCTTCCCCCTTCCCTCCTGATAACCATAAATTTGTTGTCTATGTCTGTTTTGTAAATAAGTTCACTTGTGTCTTTTTTTTTTTTAAGATTCCACATATGAGTGATATCGTATGGTATTTATCTTTCTCTTTCTGGCTGACTTCACTTAGAATGACAGTCTCCAGATCCATCCATGTGGCTGCAAATAGCATTATTTTATTCTTTTTTTATGGCTGAGTAGTCATCCACTGTATAAATATACCACAACTTTATCCAGTCATCTGTCGATGAGCATTTAGTTTACTTCCATGTTTTGGCTATTGTAAATAGTGCTGCTATGAACATTGGGGTGCATGTGTCTTTGAATCAGAGTTCTCTCCAGATATATGCCCAGGAGTGGGATTGCTGGATCATATGGTAAGTTTATTTTTAGTTTTTTGAGTATGTTGATGGACTTTCTATATCTGCTCTGGCCAATACCATAGCCACTGGCCACATGGTGCTACTGAGCCCTTGAAATGTGGTGGGTGGGACTGAATGTTTCATTTTACTTTATGTACGTTTACATTCCTTGCCCGTATCATGCGGCTCGGGGCTATCTTACTGGACAGTGCAGATCTAGACTGATGGAGACGCTGTTTTTCTACGGCGGAACCTGGACTCCCAGCATCTGCAGTCCGCACGGCTGGGAAAGAAAATGCACTAGCTCTTAAAGACTTCAGCCAGGAAGTGACACATATCACCTCTAGCTGCAGCCCATTGGCCAGAACCGTCACATGGCCCCACCCACCTGTAGAATCTGCCTGGAAACGGTGGTCAGGACCAGGAGGAGAGCCGGGAAAATGTTGACCACTAGAAATACCTACCATAGTCCTTTTATTTTAATTTTACCTTATGCATGGAGGATAAAGAGAAAGTGACAGGATTATATTTTGGCTTAATCAAGACAATTCACGTCTTCAAGAGAAAAAAGATTTTAGCAAGACAGGAAACGGGAGACGCAATGAATTCTTTTCCGACAGCGACACGATGTGGCCAATTTTGAGGACTGCATCTTCCCAGATCACCTCGGACCGCCAGGAATCAATGTGAGACCATGGAATCAATTCTGCTCATTGAGATTCGGTATAGTCAAGGAAATCACCAGTTTAGGCTTGTTAACATGACACTTTTCAAAGGAGTAAGAAAGAGGGAAAAAGACACCTCTCTTTTCAAATTCTTTCTGTGTCTGGATCCCGTCCATTTATCTATAACCCATCCCAGCTTCATTACTTGCTGACTGTGGGACCTCGGACAAGTGACCTCACCTCTCTGGGTGAAGAACTGATGGAAGGAGGAAGTAAGGGAAATGGGGCTAGGGAATCAAGGCGACGGGAGGCTGGGATTGAGCATGACTACAGTCATGTGCAAAATGAGAGATTTTGCCTTCAGTGCCTCTAGTATCCAGACGTCTTCCCTTCTTGACTCAGAATTGCTTTTTATGCCTCCCCACTTCTCTCCTCCAGAGGAAAGACTGCTTCTTCCTCTCCCCTTAACCCAAACCCTCAGAATGACTCCATTTTGCAGGACAGGCAGCTCCTCCCTGCAACCCCTCAACCTTTCTTTTAAACTTCAAGGCTATTTATTATGAAGAAGTCATGAGGTTGGTAGTCAGCCCAACAATGTAATCAAAATTTCAGAATTTTTCTATCTTTTTATTGTCTCCTTCCTTTATCTTGTTGGGTTTTCATCTGCTTGGTTT